CACGCCGGGTTCTCACCGGACCAGGCTCTCACATCACCAAGCGCGAAGCGCCGTGAGATATTCGGCGAGTCGCATGAAGGGTGCGCTGCATCCTGCCAAGGGTGTTCGGCATCTTGTGCTTACTGCCTTGCGTACGGATGACAGCTGCGTGTAACTTAGTTTATTTTCTGGTGCTTTTCACTTCCAGAGACAGTTGTAAGCACTGTGTAGTTTCCTCGAGGGTGCTTGACCATTTTACCACAACGTGGTGCGATCATCCCCCTTACGCGTAGTGACGATTGTCCACCCCGCACAACATGATCTACTCGACCACCATTATGGTTACCGCCAAAAAAAAAGAGGTAAAAAAAAACACGGTAACCTGATTGCCGAGCTCACGAAGTGAATACGCCGGAGCATGCTTGTTTTACACCGTAGTTGCCAAGCGACGAAAACCCAATCCCGATGGCAAACACCGAGGGGGGGCGAATAGGGGGGAGGGAAAAAACCGGGGCACGTACGTACACAATCATTCGGACGCGATTTTAGACGCAGCCTCTTCGGGCTAATGCTTCGCGCAAAACGTAGGTCCTCGTCCCAGAATCCCTAACGTCGGGTGTGTGGTGCAGCCGGGCTCGGCCCTCTCCTGGTTTACAAAGCAGGAGTGCACCGAGCCCGGCTGCACTACATACTCGACGTTCGGAGTGCCGTGACAAGGACCCGCGTTTGCGCACGCACAAGCCCGACGAGGCTGTGTAAGATGTGGGAACGATAATGACGACCTGGCCAAACACAGCCCGCTTACAAAATAACGCTGTGAACAAGGCGTTACTGCTGTATGTATTTAGAACAACTTTTGATACAAGCTCAAAAGGCCCGCACGCTGTCCCCGCCTCTGTGTCACTCGTTCTTGTCCCTCATCTCTCCTCTCAGCGACAACACTTCCTTGATGGTGTACTGTACCGTACAAATGTCGTATTGTCCTTGCTCCTCAGGACCGTTCTCTCCGCTCCTCGCGGAAGAAGTCGCTGGACGCTGGACGCCGAAATATAACATGTAGTTCGCCCACGTATGGGAGAAAACACGCATCAGGCGGTGAGAGGAAGCAGTGATATTCGATACTTCATAGACTGCAGCAGTTGTTCCGCTCGAAGAGAAACATTGTTTGCTTTCAACCAGCGTTATTGCTCACACACACCAGAATCGTAGGTATCAGATGGATGATGTGCGTGATTGATTGTGCCTTTGGGTGCGATGTGCCTCATGTAGGAACCTCTCGGAAAGGAACCGGACAAGCCTCTCACCTACATACATAAAAGGGGGGCCACAATAACTGCGATTGTTGAAACGAACTTCCTGGTCCTGGATGGTTGAAGGTTGAAGGCGGGGTGTGTGGTCTGTGGGTTGCTGTTGCTTGCTGGTCTCCGGAAATAATCCTGTTACCTAGTATGTACCTGTTGTACCTTTTTCCCCCTGGTCGGCTGCCATATTGACTCGTGGCTATATATAATAGTAGCCGTTCCACGTTGAACGGGGAACAAGCAACCGGGCAACAACTGGGGAACGCGGTAGTTAGAGCACACAGGAGAGTGCTACAGCATGTAAAATAGGAGCTTGATGCTTGGTGCTCGGCTTCTTTCTGCCATTTCGTTCTGCAATTTCGTTCTGCCTCTGTTTCCATTTTAGAGTGGTTCCGCCTCGGTCCGATACCTAACCTAGATAACATGCTGTGTGTATATAGTCTATCGTGTCGTGTAGCATATACCGATCTACCTGCAATGATCGCTACAGCAGGAGCTCGGTTTGTTGCCGCCCTCTGCCACCCCGTTGTCGTGTACCCTACTCTGCTCTCTTCTTGGCGGCAAGTGTCGGTTTTGGTGTGTGGAGGCAGGCATCGATCATGTGAGCCATACCCGAATCGTTACAAAAAAAACACAATCAGCGACGTGAAGACCGGACCACACGACATGCATGCCGCCCGCCATGCCGCCATTCCGCCATTTGACCCATTCTCAAAGCTCGATTACTCCACAGCACAAACATCTCACAACGAGATCTTTCCGACGAACGAGCATCCATTGAGTTTTCGCGCCCTGTTGTTCGTGGAGTCGAGGCGAGCTTTGAAATAAATCGATTCAGGTTCACCTTGTGTATCTTGTGGCACCTACATATGCATAGCTACATGGGACGCATGAGACTCAATGAACCGGCGGTACAGGTAGATCACTTCGAGAAAGAACGTTCTAATCTACATGCAGACGAAAGTTCCAATCTGCTGTTGGAAGTAAGGTGTAAGATTCCTGCAAATAACTTGCTGTTCGGTGCAGCCACACACCAGACAGAGAGGTCGCGGCAGCGCAGCGTTGGGTGTGCCCTTGCCCACAAGGAAGACAGAGAGAGCATAAGGCGTGCCCAACGGCTCCGACCTGGCCGCCCCTGTGTTTAATTAATCCCCCTCTGTGTTTAAACAGTTGACAGCAGTCCCGTCCCGGTGAGTTCGCGATGGCGTACATAAGTAGTCTCGCTCCAAGAGGTGCGGAGTGACGAACTGATTGTTGCGCTCATTTTCGTTTATTTTGTTCGGGTCAAGCGGGCAAGGTCCGTCATGGACAGCGGTGGTACACATCCGTCACAGACAGCGGTAGTATCACATCCCAACGAACCCCTATGGAGCCAGCGTTTGCCGGTATATCGCCCGACTCTCAGCAGCAGTGGTCTCTTTTCGACGATGATTAATTGTTACACACAGGAGCGTGTACTTAGCCTCGAGTGTCTGGGTATGGTTGTGCCTCTTCGTCGCCGTGTTTGTTTCTAGTAACATTCCCCGCACAAGAGTTTTTTCTTCGCGAGAAAACGAATGAGGGCGCTTTCGCTTACCCCTCACCGTCCGGGACGCGTACCCTCTCTACTCTCTCGGACAACTGTCTGCGCTGAGGCTGTATCTTGGACTGAACATGTTTGTTGCATAGACTAGTGGAGTTCGTCGTGCTTGCTGCGTCCATCCGTAGAAACAATGGGAGAAAAATGTTTCATTGCATCCCACTGGTGCTTTTCTTGACACCATCTCTTGCTCGTTGGCAGATGTGGAACATGGCCAGCCTTGTTCGCCGGGTGCACGCCAAAGGAGGTGAGACAGCTTTTCCGAGGCGAAACGCCCACGTGATATAATTACGTGGTATCAGTTGTGCGTAAGTCTTCCCTTGTCCCTCTGGGCAGTTGTGTTCAAGAGTCGGGAGCAAGCCGGGCGGGGCGGAGGTGGTGGTTTCCTCCGGAAACACGTCACTGTCACGAAGGGCCGCTTGGCAGGTTTGTTGACAAAGAGAAACGATCTTCATCCCTTTCTTTCTGCTGTATCCATATATACTGCAATAATAAGAGCACGCGGCAGCTGTAGCTTGTTGCTAGCGTAGGGGTTACAGCAGTGCGCGCGGGAGCCATGTGTCTGTCCGGGGCATTGCACACCCCCGGAGCAACAGTAGCGTGGTTGGTTGCCCGAGGTGTTGTCCCACGGGCGCATGCGGAGGAATCAGCAGCAAAGCCAAATAGTTGCAGTGACACACAAGTACGCTGACGACACACAAGTAGCTGACGACGCGGCCATCGTCTCGCTCACGCCGGAGAGCCTCGAAAAGATGATGTCCATCATCGTGCGCGTGGCCGGCCTGTTTGGACTGATGGTATCGGAGCCAAAAACGGAGATCATGTGCATGCTACCGAAAGGGCTGGGGGAACGCCCGTTCGCGGTCAGCGCCGCTGGCCAGACGTACAAGCAGACAGATCGGTTTGTGTACCTCGGACGTACCATCTGCGCGGATGGGAAGGTCGACCGGGAGATCACGAGCCGCATCTGCCGAGCATGGAAGTGCTACCGCCGGAACAGC